AGCACAGGGCGAGCCGTGAGAGCGCAGCCACAGCCCTGGGGAGCCGCCTGCTCTGGGGGTGCACATGGGACTGGTAAGTTTTCTGCTGTTTCTGCAGAGACAGAGCAGCCTTTCCCTACATGGGCCCAAAGCCCGGGGTGTGGAACGGGTCATGGGTGACCCTGGATCCAGGTGATCCCTAGGAGGGATCAGGCCCCCCCCCCCCCCCTCCACCCCCCCACCAATGGCAGCGCCGCAGAGAGGGGAGGGGCAACTGCAGTCTCAGCCCCCGCAGGCCCGGCCCTCCCACCCACTCCCCTGTGGCTCACGGTGATGCTCTCTGGGTAGAGGTTGTCGCTGTAGGACCCGTCATCAAAGTTCACTTCATAGAAGGTCTGTGTGGTGGTGCCGATGACGCGGCAGCGGTAGTAGAGCCCGTTGCGGTTCTTGGTAATGACCACCTGGCCTAAGGACACAGCCCTCAGAAACTGGACCTGGGAGGGCAGCAGGGAGGGGCAGTCAGCGCGAGGCAGGCAGAGGCACAGGGTGGGAGGGTGGTCAGCGTGCAGGGGAGGGAGGGCCGGGGCACTCACCCCGTGGCCCCCTGCCTTGTGCTTGAGGCAGGTGATGGAGACCACGTAGGGCCAGTCGTCGGGCTCCATGAGGACGCCGGCGGCGAGGGCGCAGGTCACGTGGAAGGACGTGGAGCAGTGCTCGTAGGAGCACTGGATGCAGGCACCCGATACCTTCCTCATCCGCTTCCGGCAATACACGCATTTCTGGGGGACACAGCAAGAATGGGGCTTGGCTGATGCCTTGTGCCCCCAGGAGCCCCCTACTGGCACCCAGGACGGTCTCCTAGGGGTGACCCCAACCTCTGGGGCTCTGCAGGGCGAGGAAGCCTTCCCCACAGCCCAGAGCCTCCAGGCCCTCCGGGCCCCACCCAGTGGGCTTCTGCAGCTCGGCTGGGGCATTTCTGGATTGTTCTCTACCCACCCCCTGTGCGTGACCAAGTGCCGGGACAGGCATGGAAGAGCAGCACAGTGGAGGAGCCACACGACGGCGCAGATGGATCTCGACACACCACGGCCAGCGGAGGAAGCCGGACGCAAGGGCCACACAGTGTGAGTCTATTGATCTGAAATGTCCAGAATCGGCGAATCCACAGGGACAAAGTGGCCTCGTTGCCAGGGGCTGGGGGAGGGGGATCAGGAGTGACTGCTAATGGGATGAAGTTTCTTTTGGGGTGATGGAATGGTCTGGAATTAGACAGCGGGAGAAGTTACACAATTGTGTGAATGTGCTAAAAACCACTGAATTGTACACTTTAAAATGGTTAGAATGAAGAATTTTGTCTCCGTTTTTTGTAAGAGGCACGGCCGGGTGGCCTCCTCCCTTCTGAGGCTCCAGCTGCGGTGACACCTGCCCTGCCCCTCCCCGGCGTCAGCGTCCTGGAGCACGGAGCGTCTGTGGTGCCCTTGCTGAGCCCGCCCTATGCCTGTCACTCTGACCATTTAATAAGTGGGCAGTTCTCGCTCTGTAAACCACGCTCAGGAGCCAGACAAGCACATCGGCAGAGGGCCCGCAGCAGCGCCGCATGGACGCCGATCGATGGCAACGAGATCTCATTATGAACCTGTCAATACCTAATTCTCCGCCAGCAGGGACAAGCGCTGACACACACACCTCGTGCGGTCTTAACCCTCCTGGACAGACTCCGCCTCCAGGAGTGAAGGCCGCAGTGGAGGTAAGAGCGGCTGGAGAAACCCATGGCCCAGGTGGCCTGGTGCACAGTGGCATGGGAGGTCAAGGCAGGTATCCAAGTGTTCTTGGTGGGGGACGAGGTCCATGGGCCCCTGCTGTGCCTGGAAAGGACCCAGGACCCATGTTTGGTTCTTGGTTTCCAGATTGGCATCCCTTCTTGGAGGCCACAGGGCTGAGGAGGGTGCAGGGTGGGCTTTGATGTCTGCGGAGAGGTGTGTAGCTGAGGGCCACTGCTGGGTGCTGCCCACGGCACCATGTCCTTAGCCTGCCCCCCATGCCCAGGGCATGGCTGGCTGTCCTCAGTCTGCTTGGGCAGGCAAGGCAGTAGTGAGTCCTCCCCTCATATTGGGAGCCTGACCCACGGCCCTAAACCTCACAGCAGGACCATGGAGAGCAGGTACAGCTGGTTCAATCCACCTGTGCCCACCAGCTGACAGGGGCCAAGAGACCAGCCGCACTGGAGTTGACCCCACCCCAGTGCCCTCCCAGACCTCCTGGCTCCTCCAGGAAGTTTCTGGGCCTTCCACCAGCTGCTGGGAACCACACATCTCCGCAACCTGGCACTAACCTGAGTTCAGGCTAGCTGGGGCCAGCTCCACTAACCAGGACCCCCAGAACCCAGAGCCGGCAGCCAGGGAGTCCTGGAGAGAGACGGATGGGTTGTGACCAGGAATGACCATCCTTGGCTTGTGGGCCCCCGGCTGGGCAGGCGGGGGTTAATGCTGCTTCCTTGACAGGCTCCATTAAGCAGTACAAGCGAGCCTCACGTAAAAGGATTTTTAATTCATCGTTACAAGTGCTGGTAATGAAGAGGCTGCATGCTGGAAATGTCAGATGATCCATAAAGCATCCGGGAGGGAGGATTTATCACTGGCAGCACCACTGTGCAATCGCTCTACCTGAATAATGAAGCCTCTTATGCCCGAATTTGGGGACTGAGTCGCTGGTGCCTCGGAGTCACCTGCAATCCACCGGCCTCCTAACTGCCTGTCCCAACTGCTGGCCCCTGCATGCTCCGTGAGCAAGGTCACCCCTTCCAAGTGGGCTGCCACACAGCCTGGCCTGGGTGGCCCTGTACCGGTGGGCTTGAGTGCAGCATCCCAGCCAACCAGGCTCCTGACACCTGGTGCCGGCTGCTCGGGGAGCCCGGTCCTGCAGTGGGTGGCCGTCCATCCTCACAGGACTCCCCAGCAGTCCCAGTGCCCGGAGCCAGCTGCCTCCCACCACGATCCACCAGCAACCTCAAGTGTCAACATCTGTAAGTGTCCTAGGCAGCTGGGACAATAAACCAGACAGAAAAGCAGCTGGATGCTGTCCCGTGCCCCTGGCTGACAGCCCAGCCCCCCAGGTGCCCACAAGACACAGTGCAGAGGCTCTGGAGAAAGGGACGTGAACCTGCCCTCCCACCAGAGCCACTGCCAACACGTCCCAGAGAGGTCTAAGCTCACTGCCTGCACCTCCTTCTCCATCCTGTCTGGGCCAGATCCCGAGGTCATGGGAGGCTGCTTTTAAGGACCAGCTGAGTGTAATTTGTGGCAGGTGTGGGAAGGCCCAAAGTGCCTTGCAAGGGAGCAAAAAGGGAGGTTGGGGCACTGCAGAGACGGCCACTTGCAGCTGGAGCCTGGCCCACAGGCGGGCCTTGCCTGTGAGCAGATGAAGCAGGGGACCCTATTTCCTTGGTGTGGTGACAATGACCACACAGGCAACCTAGGGTCCTAGCGGAAGAGGCTGCTGCTGTAACGAGCCCGAGAGCTGTCGATGAGACCGTGCAGTCAACGCTTTACGGGGCTGACCTCTGCTGGGTGGACTGTTGGCAACCCCACCTCATGGGTGGGAAGGCCGAGGCACAGAGAGGTCAAATAATCTGTCCAGAGTCACACAGCTGGCCAATGGCAGAGCCAGGAAGGAAAGCCAGTGCTCTGCTCACTGTCCCTACTGTGCTACTACTTCGAGTCCTTCCCTCAGAGGTGACCGCTATCAGCCAGAGCAGATGGCGCACAAGGGCACGTCTCATGAGGTCCCTCCACACCCCCGGATGGAAGCACTCCTAAGAGGGACCATCGCTGTGCACAGCGAGGGACCTGTGACAGAAGTCCTTCAGCTCAACAGCAAAAACCAAGTACCGTGATTAAAAAACAGGCAAAGGACTTCCAAAGAAGACATGCTGATGGCCAACAGGAAAATGAAAAGACGCTCAGCACTGCTCGTTGCAGGGAAATGTGATGAAAACCACTGTGAGGTATCTCCCACACCTGCTGGGATGGCTGGGATGGAAAAGTCAAGAGCTAACAAGTGTCAGTGAGGATGCAGGGCGAGGCACTCTCATGCAGCATTGGGCACTACTATGGTTTCTCAAAAAATAAAAAATACAATGACCTTACAACCTAGCAATCCCACCACTGGGTAAACATCCACAGGAAATGAGATCAGAGCCTCCAGCAGAGAGCTGCGCTCCGTGTTCCTGCAGTGTTATTTACAATGGCCACGTGGAAACTGCCCGAGTGTCCACGCACGGATGAATAAAGAAAACGCGGCCATCCCCTCCACGGAATATTACCCAGCCACAAAACAGTAGAAAATCCTGCCATATTCAGGTGAATCCTGGATGAATATGGATGAACCTTAGGACATTATGCTCAGTGACATAAGCCAGTCACAGAAGGACAGATACCGCGTGATTCTACTCACACGAGGGGCATCGAACAGACACACATGTGGAGGCGGAGCTAGGATGGTGGGTGTACGTGAGACCCCTGTGTGACTGTCACCACCACCAACACCCTCAGTTCTCCACACGGTGACTTCCTATCCTCCGAAACTATAAGCAATAAATTTCGTTTACTCAAAAATAAAAAAGTCAAAAACAAAAAAACGGTGGGCCCTGGGGGCGGGAGGGGGGCTGGGAATTCCGTTTAACAGGTCTGGAGACCTGCCGCACGGCGTCATGCCCGCAGCTGACACCACTGCGCTGTGCACTGGGGAGCCTTGTCAAGAGGGAGGAAGGCACAGGAGTGATGTTTCCACAAGCACAGAAGTAAAAACGGAGGGGCCGGTTACGTAATGAGAAGGAACAGAGCCGCAGTGGGCATGGCGGTCCGCTGGTGTCATCAGGTGGAAACCACACACGGCACCTGGGCTGTGGAGAACACCCCGAGCAGACATAGGAGACGGAAGCTGCTGGGGGACACCGTTGCCAAAACCGAGGCCCACGGCGTCTGACTTCCTTGCGGCACCCCCGCCATGCACATGTGGAGTCTGGAGGAGCTGGCCTGGCCGGGGCAGGGCCTGGCTGGCGAGGGCAGGGACTTACCAGTTTCCACCGCTGCTCGGGGATGGCACTGATGTCCACGGGGTGGCGCTCAATCACATTCAGGAACCTCACCTCCGGGACAGCGATGGCGCAGATCACATGGATCCACCTGGGAAGGGGGTAGGGTGGGGGTCACAGGTGCACCTTGGATCACCCTGGGGCTCGTCACGGAGGGCCTGGGCTGTTGGGGGTGGGCAGCAGAATGGCAGGGGCAGGGCAGGATGCGGTCTCTGTTCCCAATGCTGCTGCTGGCTCATTTGGGGCTTAAGGGACCTTAAGGACAGTCAGGACACTCGTTAGCACCTCCTCACCCCGTCACCCCATCCATAATGGGGGCGAGGTACATGGAGGTGACACTGGCCCTCCCCTCAGCACGGGGGACAGCTGAGCCTCCACGCAGGGCAGGGCAGGGGTCCTGGCTCCCTTCCCCCACCCACTCCAGGTGCCCAGTCACCTGCTCTCTGTGGTCATTTGCAGCGCTCCTCCTCGGAGGTTACATAGGCAGCACTCCTGTGGGGACCAGAAAACCACACGGTTAGGGGCATGGGGCAGGGCTGCTTGCCACTCTACTTGGGCCTGTACCACCAGTGGTCTCCGGCCCTTGGTCCTTACATTTCAACCTAGCAGTCACCAAAGTGACAGGCTCCGCCCCCTCAGCGCAGAGGTGAAGAAATCGAGGCCTGGGAGGGGAGGCCATGGGTGCAAACCACCCTAAGAGAGCAGGGCCACCACCCCAGCTGCAGGGAGTGAGTTACCGCAGTCCAGGCGTGAGCTGCGCACCGGGAACACGTCCAGCCTTCGTTGACCAGCTCAGGGCGGATGCCATAGCAACCTGCAAGACAGTGGCCAGCTAAGACATGGAGGGGCACCTGGGCCGACTGCGGTCACCACCCTGCTTGCCTCACTCCAGGCCACCATGCTCCAAGTGGGAACGAGGACACTGGGAGGGACAGCGGCCAGCTACCCAGCCCCCACCCCGAGCTGCGTCTCCTCCCGCTGCATCTGGACACTTGAGGGTCTAGAAGCTCAGCTCTGCTCAGAAGGCCCCAGGTGGCTCTGAGGGGCCAGTAGGCGGAGGACGCAGGACACTGAGCAGGAAGCCATGTGAGGTGGGACACAGGGCTCACAACATTGGAGCTCAGGGAGCAGACCTCCCTGGGTGGTCTTGGGGCAAGGAAATGGGCAACCACAAGCTCACTGCGGAATATGCCCTGAGTTTGGAAATGCAGAGAGGGCACTGGGGGGAGGATGGAGGCCGAGTCATGCTCCCCCATCCCCAGAGTGAGGGCTGGAGACACAGCAGAGTGACAGGTCCTGGCCAGGAGACAAAGTGAACTCCCAGGCAGGCCACCACGGGGGAGGGAGCCAGACAGATCTATGGCTGCCGTCCTTGGCTGGAGCACAGAAAATTAAATGTCTCCAGAGAGCTTTCCCCATCCTGGAAGTAGAATCTTACACTGGATTCCACCCCCTCGCACCCGAGAAAGGGCCGATATC